CGTATCTATTCTCATGAAAGGGAATCCCAAGTGAACTGAACAACAAATATGCAACCACAGCACATATTAGGCACCTGCTGTATGCTGACTCTGGGAGATGCCCCTATGGCAGTGATGAGAGTTGGGGCCAGTGTTGTGGCACAGCAGGTTAAGCTACCATCAGCAATGCCAGCTTTGCCCATGGGTACCAATTCGAGTCCTGGCTACTCCACTTCTGATCCAGCTCCCTGCTAATAAGCCTGAGAAAGCAAAGGAAGATGGCTCAAGTGCTTGGGCCCCTGCCACCCCCGTGGGAGACCTCGATAAAGCTCCTGGCTCCTGGCACGCAAGAGCCTCCCACGTGGAGGAACAGGTACTAACTGCACGCAGGAGCTTCCCAGGTGGAAGCCCAGCCTTTGGAAATGGACGGCTGCACCCAGCCATTCCACAGCAACCGTATCTTATCCTTTTTTGGCTAAAGAATTATTTATTAATTATTTATTTGAAAAGCAGAGTTACAGAGGGAGGCAGAGAGACAGACACACAGAGAGATCTTCCATCTGCTGGTCACTCCCTCAAATGGCCGAAATGGCTGGGGCGGGCCAGGCTGAAGCCAGGAGCCTGGAACTCCATTGGAGTGTCCCACGTAGGTGCAGGGGCCCAAGCACCTAGGCCATCTTCCACTGCCCTCCCAGGCACATTAGCAGGAAGCTGGGTCAGAAGAGGAGCAGCTGGGACTCAAACCAACACTCACATGGGATGCCAGCAGCTTAACCTGTTGTACCACCATGCCAGCCCTAGTCATATCACTTAATAGCTGGGGAGCACTAATATATTGCCCAAATTGGAACTTTTAAAAAATTTATTTATTTATTTGAAAGGCAGAATTGCAGAGAGAGAGACAGAGAGACAGAGACAGAGAGACAGAGAGAGGTCTTCCATCTGCTGGTTCACTCCTCAAATGGCTACAATAGCCGGAGCTGGACCAATCCAAAACCAAGAGCCCAGAGCTTCTTCTGGGTCTCCCACATGGGTGTCAGGGGCCCAGGGACTTGGGCTGTCTTCCGCTGCTCTCCCAGGTGCATTAGCTGGGAGCTGGATGGGAAGTGGAGCAGCCAGGGCTGGAACTGGCACCCGTACAGGATGCCAGCATCACAGGCGGCAGCTCTGCCTCAGCGCCAGCACCAGAACGTTTCTAGGGGAAGAGTGGGAGCTAATACTCGCATTGGGCCAATGGGTGCAAACCCAGACCCTGCCAGGCCTACCAGGCACATGGCCCAGTGGATCAAGAGGAACACTCCGCCTGCCTCCTGCCCCCATAGCCACCAAAGGAACCTGAGTGACCGATGAAGGCCTCCAGGGACCTGAGCCCTTGCCTGTCCTTGCTCCCCCATTCGCGGAGGAACGACACTGGACCCTGCGCTGTTCTTTTGTCTGCTCGGCCCTTCCCGGGTTAGCTGCTGTTCCCTCACTCGCAGAGGAACGACGCCGTCCCGGGTTAGCTGCCGGCCCCTCCACCTCCGTAGAGGGGCGGCACCCCCCGCCGCTTTCCCCACTTCTGCGGAGGAGCGGCACACGCCGGCCGGCTCTCTCTGGGGCTGCTCAGATGTTATCTGGATGTTCCTGGTGCATGTTGTCTCTCTCCTCCTTTATAGTCCTCTTCCACCAATCCCAACTCTGCTGCCCACACGCCGAGCACGCTGCTCTCCTCCAATCAGGAGCAGGATCAGCTCCTGCAGTTTATTGGTCGAACTGGAGGCAGCTGCGTAGAAGTTGTTTGGTCTTTCTCAGCGCCATATTGTGGGAGATCAGATGCATAGAATAAGTCTTAATTCCAGTAACTTAGTCTAGTCTCAGTTGCCCCCCACAGACAAGGGAGAAGACAGCTCGTTCCAAGAACGGCTTGGGACTGTGACAGGCAGGAATCAGTATGCAGGCCCCAGAGCTGCAGCGATCAGGACAGGAAGGAGAGCAGGGGCACAGGCTTGTGTGAGGGAACTGTGGGAAGGGGGTGGTGTGTGCCCGTGACTGAACCTGGCTCACACACAGCTGGTGCGTGCAGGCTCCCCAGCTGCCCAAGTCCTGTCGCGTTTCTTTTGCTTTACCTCTTTGTGCAGAGGTGGCCTGATGTGTTCTTAGAGAGAAGGTAGCACCCAGTGGAGGGAGTGTGTGTGTGTGTGTGTGTGTGAGAGAGAGAGAGAGAGAGGGAGCCATTTCCTTCTGTCATCCAACTCTCAGATATTAACACAAGCCCTGTGTGTGGCTGCACCCCCAGGACACGCCCCCCCACCAAACGCCGCCCCTCCTGGCTCACCCTGTTGTTTGTTCCGTTTCTGATCGGCGCCAGGCTTGCAGACCCCGTGTAGGTAGAATATAACTTTCTATAAATAGCCTCTAACCTGACCTACAATTTGCCTTCGGGGTTTTTTTCCCCTCATGGTAATGGGATTGGAGCCTGGGCCCCAGCAGGCAGAGCTGAGGTGTGCTGGCTGTGGGCATTGTTGGAATTCCTGGTCCCCCAGGTTGCCCTGGGTGTGGGGAGCACCTAGCGCATGTTGAGGTGGAGTGGGCTGATTCTCCCCCACCCGCGAGCAGCCCATGCTTGCAGCCTCACGTACCCTCCGCCGACAAGACCTGCACCCCCTCCTCACCCGACAAGCCTCTAAGCACACCACGTCCATGACACCCTTCCTAACCATTGCACCTCCCGGTCACCTTCCAGCTGGTCAGGCCTGTCTTTGTTCCCTTGCACATCATATGGAGCAGTGTGACCTGGTCAGGTGCACAGAGCCTCTGAGCAGCCTGAGTGAGTGTCAGGGACAGGCTCTGAGTGCAGGTCTGGCTCTGGGCAAAACACACCACCCCTTAAAGCCTCAGTCCCCTCAGATCCAACACAGACCTGGCTCCAGCGACCGTGTCCCACCACTGCGCCACACTGCCTCTCAAGGCTGGACGATATCTATCTCCTCCCTGCTCTGGCGCACCCCTTGTGATGCACGAATTCCCTTGGGGCTCCTGTTGAGGTCACTCGGGGTCTGGACCCACAGGGAGGGACGGGGCAGCAACACCCACTGGCATCGGTCCAAGATTGATGATCATGAATTTAGGAGGGTTTGCTGGGAGTGAAAGACCTCAGCTTGCATTAGGGGGTTGCTTCCCCCACAATGGGATGGAGCTGGTTGCAAACTTTGCCTGAGCAGCCCTCCTTAGGGCAATTAGGGAGACTGAATGAGGGAGACAGACTTTGAAAGAAGGGTGAGACATCGTGCTGCTCTTGAAGATCTCGTTTCTTCACCAGGGAGGAACAAACTCACATTCGTGAAACAGCTTGTGAGCCGGCTCTTCCTTGTACTTGGCTTTGTGTCCACGCCAGTATCAAGCAAGGCTTGCTCCGGCCATGCAGGCATTCCGGAAGGAACGTCACGCGGAAGGTACGGCATTAAGAAGCCAAGTAGTAGTGAGGACAATCGGGACTGGGGCGTCCGAGGAGAGAGGGATCATTGGAGAGCAAACTATCTCTGGAAGGTGTAAGGAAGTGGTGACAAGTAACATGGGCCCTAAAGACAAACATAGGGCTCTGGCACTGTGGCGCAGTGGGCTAAGCCACTGCTTGCAATGTGGCTCCACCAGCACCCATTTCCAACCCAGCTTCCTGCTAATGCACCATGGGAGGCAGCAGCTGATGGTCCGGTCCGAGTACTCAGTCCCCTGCCACCCATGTAGGCAACCGGGATGGAGTTTCTGGCTCCTGCCTTTAAACTGGCCCAGACCTGGCTGGTGGTAGTCATTTGGGGAGTGAACCAGAAGGTAGAAGATCTTGGCCGGTGCCGCGGCTCACTAGGCTAATCCTCCGCCTAGCGGCGCTGGCACCCCGGGTTCTAGTCCCGGTCGGGGCGCCGGATTCTGTCCCGGTTGCCCCTCTTCCAGGCCAGCTCTCTGCTGTGGCCAGGGAGTGCAGTGGAGGATGGCCCAGGTGCTTGGGCCCTGCACCCCATGGGAGACCAGGAAAAGCACCTGGCTCCTGGCTCCTGCCATCGGATCAGCGCGGTGCGCTGGCCGCAGCGCGCCGGCCGCGGCGGCCATTGGAGGGTGAACCAACGGCAAAAGAAGACCTTTCTCTCTGTCTCTCTCTCTCACTGTCCACTCTGCCTGTCAAAACCTGTCAAAAAATAAAAAAAATAAAAATAAAAAAAAAGAAGGTGGAAGATCTTCCCTCTCCCCCAGTCACTCTGCCTTTCAAATAAATAAATCAGTCTTAAAACAGAGAGAGGCTGGCGCCGCAGCTCACTAAGCTAATCTTCCACCTGCAGCGCTGGCACCCCAGGGGGTTCTAGTACCAGTTGGGGCGCCAGATTCTGTACCAGTTGCTCCTCTTCCAGTCCAGCTCTCTGCTGTGGCCCGGGAGTGCAGTGGAGGATGGCTCAGGTGCTTGGGCCCTGCACCCACATGGGAGACCAGGAGGAGGCACCTGGCTCCTGGCTTTGGATCGGCGCAGCACCGGCCGCAGTGCACTGGCCGTAGCAGCCACTTGGGGGGTGAACCAATGGAAAAAGGAAGACCTTTCTCTCTGTCTCACTGTCTAACTCTGTCTGTCAAAAAAATAAAGAGAGAGAGAGAGAGAGAGAAAGAAAGAAAGCCGGAGTCCCTGGGGAACTCAGTGGGCACGGCAAGCAAAGGAGCAGCTGCCATGTCCACTTGGAGGCAGCATGGGGGCGGGGCCAGAGGGGATGGTCTTCCATGTAGGCCTTGAAGCTCACATGGACCCTGGGTAAGAAGGAGCTGTTGAAGGGGAGTGGGGCAAATAAATAAATAAGTCAAAGGGCAGGCTGCTACAAGGAGGTGGGGCTGAGGTCACGGCCAGGAGGTCTGGGGAAGGAAGGGGTAAACCCAACCTTTCAAAGGGAGGCCATAATTGCCACAAGAGCCATCAGACGGCAGAGATGCCGGCTGGCCCGAGCCCTGCTAACTAGGACACAAATGACAGCGTGTGTGGTTGACAAAAGGAGACCACATCCTCTGGGTTAGGATTCATTGTCTTTATTAACAACGCCTCTGGACTCGAAGAACAGACTGGTATTTCATTAAGCAATATTAACGTTGTCATCCTCTACGAGACAAACTTCTGCATAAATAACTTAAGTGAGAAAATAAATAGGTAACTTAACTCTTTAAAAACCACACCCCTCTCTCGGGGATTGCAAACACCACCAGCCCCGCGGGCTTTCCAATCGGCATGTGCTCCTGTTTAAAAGTGTTTTTCCTTTTTAACAATTAAAAGCTACACAGAAAGGAAGAGGTGTCTGGAAATGGTTTTCAGGAGTCTTGTGGGTGGCAACGACGCTGCTTTGCAGTTTCTCAGCATATGTACAGCATTTGTAACCCCACCCCCTTACGTTCTTTTAATATAAGAAATGCCATCCGGTAAGAGCAGCAAGAAGCTGTGTTGTAGACAGAAGTGCATCTGTGAGTGGGGAGCGGGGGAGGGGCCGCGGGAGGGGTCTGCTCCCCCAGGACCCGCAAGCCCTGCATCTCGGGGTCTCCACTTTCTCCACCGAAGGTGCCTTTAAAACCTGGCGTAGAGCCGGGCCGATGGGGAAATCCCGCCCCTCCCACCACCCTGGGGACCCTCGCCTGCATTTCCCCGATTGACGAAGTCAGTTCTTTGAGATGGAGGGGCAGAGGTAGCCAAGCATCTGGCGAGGCCAGGCCGGGACACCAGGCAGCTTCTTCCAGGGGGTTGTCAGCCATAAATAGCCATTTGTTGCATCTTTGGCTGTTGGTTCAGAGCTCACAGCCCTGAATTCTGGTAGTGCCCCTGGCCGTGAGTCAATCTAATCAGCCTCTGTCTCTGTCTCCCTCTCTCTCCCCTCCGCCCCTTCAAAGGGCACCCATGGACGCATTTAACAGAGGATTCCTGAGACCTTTGCTCCCCACCCGCCTCTTACAAAGAGGAAGTCGAGGTCCCTAAAGGGGATCACACAGTCCAAGTGGCAGAGTCAGGACCAGAAACCCACCCGCAGACCCACCCCCCACCCCCCAGTCCTGGGCTCCTGGCACCACACAGCTCCAGGGGTGGGCAGAGGTGCAGGGGGACTCTTAGGGAACCTTCCTAACCCTCCCTGGACTTTTCACAGCCTTCACGGCTCCCTTAAAACTTCAGGGCGGGACCAGCAAAGGTGGGTGGGCCCCGGGGGCGGGGCTGCCTGGCTCAGTGTCAGTGGCTCTTAGCTCCCGCCCCTTCCCTGCGGGACCCTCTTTGCGGGCCAAAGCGGGGAGCTTTGCTGGCACCCGGGCTTCCGCCCGGGCGGAAGGTTTCGGCCCCTGCCTCGGGGTGGGGGTGAGGGCCAGGCACTTGAAGTGAAATACCAACGAAACCCGCGCAGAAGACGGAAACCCGGGCGCGCCTGGGCCGGGGCGCGTCGGGGCGGCGCGGGTGGGGCGCGGGCTCTAGTAGGCGTTCTCCAGCTCGGCCTGGTTGGCTTTGGCTCCCCGGGCGCGGGGCCGCGACTTGCGGCCCTTCTGCGGCCGCGCGGCTTCGGGCCCGAAGTCCTTGAGCTCCGATTGGTTGTGGAAGCGGGTGAGACGCTTGCACTTGCACGAGGCCACGAGGCGCACCTTGCGCGCGCGCGGTGCCGCGCCGCCGGGACACAGCAGCTGCACGCGCTGCGCGCGGTAGCGGTCGGGGATGCAGCGGAAGTCGGGCCCGCTCGGGCGCCACCACTTGCCGCGGCCGATGGCGTTGGGCAGCAGGCGCGCCGGGCCGCACTGGCCGGAGCACACCAGCTCGGTGACCGGCTTGGCGCTGCGGCACGGCCCGTCCGTCACGTGGCGGGTGAAGTGCAGCTCACGGCAGCTGTACTCCGACACGTCTGTGGAGAGAGGCGCGCGTGAGGGTGGGGCTTGGGCCGGCTGGCGCCCCACGCCCCGTGCCCCGAGCCCCATCCCATCTCTAACACACCTGGGCCTCCTGCCCCTGTGCACCTGTTACAGGAAGGCCCCCCTACTCCTGCAGGTTAGGGGATCAACCCAGGGCCACCCTCTGCCCTTGTGGCCGAGTGGCAGCTAGGGTTAAAGTGCAAGGGCCCCATCCCTTAACACCTGTGTGACCTCGGACAAATTACTTAACCTCTCACTTCTCCCAGTCTGCAAAATGGGTTGTCTGGAGTCTCCAGCGAGCCAGTCCTTCGTGCACAATTGCACAGCTGGGTTCACAGGAGGGGTGGGAGCTGCGGGCTGTGGGGCCTTGTTTTTATTCTTCGGGGGTGGGGGGCATCTGCTGAGTTTAACCACACCTGTGCACGAGGGGCCCTGGCCTGCACCGGGGCGGTACCAGCCACACCTGCATGGGTCTGGCTTTTCCCGAATTCCTTTCCCAGCCACTTGGCAGGGGCGGGCAGGAGAAGGAGAAAGGGGGAGAGAGGTCGATTGCAGGCCGTAAATCAGAGCGGCTGCAGGAGAGGAGCAGCATGGGCGGGAGGCGGCAGGGGAGGAATTCATTAGACTTGAAAGGAGCCGAAGGTGCGCGTCCAACCCCCTCATTATCAGACGGGACGCTGAAGCCAGGAGAGGGGAAAGGACCTGCCCAAAAGGCAGTTCGGCTCGCCCAGCACCACCTCCCACCGCCCACACCTTCTGCCTGCAGCTTGGGTGAAAGGGGTCTGCTGGGGGGGCCCGCGGGAGGCGGGGCTGGGCCCCCGGGGGCACAGGACTGCTTTTTACCACAGTTACTTCCTGCCAGAGGGGCACTGGGCTCTGATTCCATAGCGTCAGCTGCCACCAGCATTTATTAAGCACCTACTATGTACCAGGCTCCTGGCTAAGCACGTCTGCTGCTCTGTGGCACTCAAGTGGGCACCTGATGGCGACACAAGCCTGCTCGCTGGATGTGGCTCGGCCCCCTGCACACACTGACTGTGCCTCTTTCAGTGGGCTTAGGCAGGTGGGGGCTTTCTAAACAGCTGGTCCACCCCAACAGCTTTCACTGGGACAGTTCCCCGGTGACACAGAGGCATGAGAACCAGCGCAGCAGGGCCGTGGCTGGCTGCCTGGTTTCGGGGCTGGCATCCTCCACCTGCAGCAGTGCTGGGTGGGGCGGCCTGTTGCCCAGGGAAGGAGGCTTTTCCAAGAATAGTGCCCCCCCCCCAGCACTTCCTCTGCAGAGCCGGATGGTGGGCTGCAGCCTCTCACAAGAGCCTGGGGAAGTGGACATGTTATATTCGGGTCCCCTGCAGCCTTGTAAGTGGGAGCCCCTTGAGCTCAGGGGCTGGGGAGGAGTGCTCCTGCCGCCCACCCTCTGTTGTGAAACCCAGGGTCGCTGCTGGCCCCCAGGGGCCTGCCCTTCCCCGGGGCCCACTTCCAGCAGCTGGGTGGGAGGCTGGCAGGGGTGGCACACAGGAGCCCTGCAGCGGCCCCACTGCCACCCAGGGATAAGAGAGGCTGGGTCTGGGGTGGGGGCTCCGCACTGGCAGTGCCACCTGTGTCCACTCCGTGCACAGAGGCTGCTGCCTTCCCTGTCTCCGCCCCCGCCAGGGCCTGGACTCAGCTGCCACCCATGCCAGAGGCTGAAGCTGTGCCTACACCCCCACTTCGTTCAAGGCCAGCTGGCCGGGTAGACGGTGGGCAGTAGGAGCTGAAGGGGCCTCTCTGGCTTCCTTCTCCCACTGCCGTGCGAGGGTCTCGGGTTCTAACACCCCTCCCCTCCTGCACACGCCTGGCGGCCTTGCAGTTGAATGGACCTGGGCTCAGATCTCAGCTCCGCTGCTTATAACCAAGGAGCTCCATCTCAGGAGCCTCCGTAGCTTTCACTTGAATCTGGGGGTTGCCCTGCACGTGCTGGGTCTGCGGTCACAGTGCAGCGACAGCCTGCCTAGAGCATTCGGTGCTCAGCACGTGCCACTCCAGATGTGCGGGGCCCTTGCCTTGTCCCCAGTCCTGGCTCCTGCCTTGTCCCCAGTCCTGGCTCCTGTGCTTTCAGGAGAGGTTTCTTTGAACCCTTTTCTATCCTGTGCCTTGGAGCCTGCTGCCTTGCTGCACCCTCACCGCCTCAGCCCCTCCTGGTCCAGTGCCCCTGAACTTGAAGGCTAAGGTTGCACTGGCTCACCACCCCTCCCTACCTCCAGGAGTGCCTGTCCCTGCATCGGTGAGCCCCAGCCTTCACAGCCTACCGAAGAGAAGATTCTAAAACATCCCCCCTTCCTCCCCAGGACCCTTGGGCTAACGGCTCTCCCCTCCCCCATACCTTTGGTCTCGAAGGGGTGGTGGGGAGGCCTCCCTCCATTCTCCGCCCGGTTCATGGTCTTGTTCTCCAGCTCCGGGGGAGGCGCGGGGTACCGCCCGAGCTCAGGGATAACTTCCGTGGCGTCATTCTTGAAGGCCTGCCACCCTTGGCCCTCTACCATGTGGACGGCTGCATGCACCAGCAGGCAGAGGAGACACAGGGCTAGGGAGAGCTGCATGGTGCCAGCCACGGGAGGGCACCTGCCTTCTAGGAGCACAGGCTTGGCTCCCCAGCCCAGACTCGGTCCCCTTTTTAAAGCCCCCTCTGCCTCGTGCCAGCCAATGAGGACAGGCTGGGGCAGGGCTGGCTCCATGTCTCCGGCAGCTCTGGGGGAGGGAAGGGGTGTGCTCAGAGCAAGCCCTCCCCAAAGATTTCTCCTGGAGCTCAGCAAACTTCCAACTTGCTGCTGGCACTCCCAGGTGATCGGAGGGAGGGGCGTGTGAGGCAGGGCCCACGCCTGCTCCCCAGGCACCTCCCCCGGCAGGCAGGCGGCTGTGGCTTTCCCATATCAGCAGGAGCTCACAGCTCCGGCTGCTGGGTGTGCACCTCCCTCAGGCATTTGCATGGTACCCGCGGAGCCGCCTAAGCCTAACCAAGGAAACGAGTAGCTCAGAGTTCTCCACGGGCCTGAGCTCGCTGGTGCAGCTGCCCGGGCAGAGGCCACCCTCACCTCCCCATCGGACAGCCCCACAGGCTCAGCCAGGGGCAGGAGCAGGCTTTTCAAGAAACCCCATTTTGGTCCCGAAGCCATGAGGCTCAGCATGGATCATCTTGACCAAGAAAACCTCCCTGGAAGTCAAGAGAGAAGAGAGCCGCAGGGCCCCAGCTCGGTGACCGCTGGGGCGCAGGGGCAGGATGCTGGCGACATGTGGAGTTGTGCAGGTCCCGCAGAGCACTGGCTGCAGCTCCCGGGCTGGTGCGCTGAGGGTGGTCCCTTCCCTGGCCACACTGTGGCCTTCTTAGCCAAAGCCGAGGCGCATGTGTTCAGTACTGACCTTTTTTCCCCGTCTGCCAGCCTGCTACCTTTGCAGAAGCAACTTGGAGTCCTCTCTGGGAGACCCCAGTGGTGCCTACCCTGGGATGCATTACCCGAAGCCATTGCAGCCCAGTCCAAGCAGCCAAGAGAAACCCAGGGGGTCGCACTCTCAGCTCCCCCCACCCCAGGAGATCGGGCCTCTGGGGAGGGGGAGGGGCCGGGGAGGAAGGTTCACACCCGAGGTGCCAGAAAAGAAAGGGCCAGGGCAAGCTTTCCCTGGGGACAGTGCGGTGTGGGAGGCAGGAGGCGCTGGGCTCCTGCCCGGAGGGAGGGAGGCTGGGAAGAGGGCTGTGGCCCGGATCCCCTTGGTATTTTCACTGGGCAATGAATCAGCCCGCTCCACCTGCACAGCCTCTTGGAGGCCGCTGCCACCTGCCTCAACTTGTACGTTGCTATGTCCATCTGCGGCCGACTGTCCCCCGCCTTTCCGTCATCCATCACTTGACACATGGATGCAGCTGCCCTGACAGTTTTACAAGCCAGACAGAAGCCCCCGCAGGAAGGGCCCTCTCTGATACCTGCTTCCTAAGTCGGTTTCCTTCGGGGCAGACGAAAACAGCTGTGGCCATTGTTGGGGGTGATCTATCTCTCCCAGCAGAGCCAGCAGGGTTGTGAGAAGCGGCGCCCCCTCCCCTTGTCTGTGACCCTCCAGCCTCCTTCCCCTGGCTCTGGAATGTGGACTGTTAACCCTGCTGTGGCCGGACCACGGCCCTCTCACCCTGAACTTTGTAGAGAGCCACTGCCCTGCCAGGGTTCTTGGAGTTGGCAGGACAGATGCTTAGAGCCCCACCTGCTGTTGGGAGCCTCTGACCAGCGTCAGTCAATGGGAAGCTATGGGACCATCCTTGGAACTCTTCCGCCACCTGCTGGAGACAAAAGGAGGAGCCAGCGCCTGCCAGATGGCCTGGCTTAGGACTCATTTAGTTCATTAGGAACTGAAGTCACATTAAAAAGAGAAAAAAGGGAGGGGCAGCATTGTGGCATAGCGGGTAAAACCACGGCCTGCAACGCCAGCATCCCACATGGGCACTGGTTCGAGTCCGGGCTGCTGCACTTCTGATTCAGCTCCCTGCTAATGCACCTGGGGAAGCAGCAGAGGATGGCCCAAGGGCCTGGACCCCTGTACCCATGTGGGAGACCTGGAGGAAGCTCCTGGCTCCTAGCTTCGGACTGGCTGGCCACTTAGGCTATTTGGGGAATGAACCAACAAATGGAAGATTGATGTCTCTTCCTCTCTCTGTGCAACTAAGTTTCAAATAAATAAATCTTAAAAAGAAAGAAGGAGAACCCAGCGGACTTGAACTGCCCGATGACCGCCAGCACTCTGCGTTCTCCGCCGGAGGGCAGCCACGCGTTTCACAGATGGCTCAGCGTGCGGCTGTCACCGCTGTCTCAGTGTTGGGTCACACACAGCTCTTTCTAGTAGCCACTCAGTCCACAGCCTTGCCACTGTCCAGACTTAGGCCATATCCCAGGGTTCTAGTGGGTTCCTTTTGTGGATTGATGGATTGTTTCCATTTTTATGAATGTCCAAACAAAATCACTTTGGATTAATTTTTAAATTTTGTAGGGCTGGCGCTGTGGCACAGGGGGTTAACGCCCTGACCTGAAGCACCATTTATATCAATCATTCTTTCATATCAAAAAATGTGATGCAGAGGCCAGTGTTGTGGCACAGCAGACGGGGCTGCCGCCCGCGACCCCTGCATCCCTTATGGGCGCAGGTTCAAGTCCTGGCTGCTCCACTTCCGATCCAGTCCCTGCTAACGCAGCTACACAGAGCAGCGGAGGATGCCCCAACTGCTTCCACAGGGGAAGCTCCTGGCTCCTGGCTTTGGCTTTGCCCAGCCCAGGCCATTGAGGTCATCTGGAGAGTGAACCAGCGAATGGAGGAACCCCCCCCCTGTGTGTGTGTGTGTGTGTGTGTGTTTCTCTCTGCCTCTCTGTAACTGCCTTTCAAATAAATAAAATCTTAAAAAAAAATTTTTAAGTGTGATGTGAATGGAAACAATCAGTATGTACCCTTTGGGGCCTGGCTTTTTTTGCACAGCCTACTTCCCTGGAGAATTGTCCAAGTCCAGGGATCCCTAACTGGTTCCTTTGGACTACTGAGTGGTGTCCCACAAGCACTGATTTCCACAGGGAAGGCTGCGGCCGAGGCAGCGGGCAGCTTGGTAGGTCCTGCCCATGTTGCAGCACGGCTCTCTTCCAGGCCCAGCTGGTCCCCAGCCCCACCTGCGACACACAGGCGTGCACCTGCGGTAAGTGCTGGGCTGCCATGGTGAGTGCCACCCGCTGAGCGGCTTAGTGCAGTTAACCGTCTCATGCTTCTGGAAGCTGAAACGGAAGGTGCAGGTATTGGCAGGGTGGACTCCTGAGTGTGCGGGCACGAGCTGCCCCAGGCTGCCCCCCTGCCCCAGGCTGCCCTCTGCCCCCCAGGCTGCCCCCTGCCTCAGGCTGCCCTCTGCCCCTCTGCCCCCCAGGTTGCCCCCTGCCCCAGGCTGCCCCCCTGCCCCAGGCTGCCCCCCTGCCCCAGGCTGTCCCCTGCCCCAGGCTGCCCCTCTGCCCCCCAGGCTTCCCCCCTGCCCCAGGCTGCCCCCTGCCCCAGGCTGCCCTCTGCCTGCTGGCGGCTGCTTCCCTTCCTGGGCTTGGGGAAGCACCACCCCCAGCTCTGCCTCCCTCTTCTCCCTGGGCCCAGACGCCCCCCTGTTGTAAGCACCAGGCCATGCTGGCTCAGAGCCCGTTCCACGGACCTCAGCCTAACTAATGATGACTGGATCATTCGAATTCTAAAATGCCACCCAGTCATCTTCACGAGGTCACTGTGGAACCCCAGTCCCCTCTTTCTTAGAAACACAAATCTTATCTCCCTCGCTGGGGTGGGCCACTTTATCAAGCACATTCCTAACACAGGAAGTTTCTGGTACTGGAGATACGGCCAATGAAGACGTGCTGCAAAAACAGAATGGCCGTGGTTCCTACAGGGCGAGAGGGGCTGATTCCCAGATGAGGGTCATTGCACAAACAGAGAAAACACAACAGCCTGAGGGAAACCGCGACAAGGACACGAGAAACGACTTCTTGATCATGTAAGACATTTATTTTGGTTACAACCTTAGTGTTTTAACACTGATTCGCGATACAGCAGACATTAAACTTGTCTTTAAAAAAATCATTTTCATATCTTCCCTTTTTCTGTCCAGAAAATCACGCTCTCACGATCATATTACCCCCAAAGCGAGCAGGAGGCAACAGGTCCTAAAGTGGAACTTGCAGCCCATCTGCTTGACGCACCCGGGACGGCCTCAGTCTCCCCTCGGGAGAGGACCAGCTCTGTGCTCTTCAGTGATTCCTGACACCAGTTTTATGGCAAAGAAGATTCCCTGCAAGAAAAGCCCATATCCTCGTATTTAAGACAAGTGCTTATTTTGATTAAAACATTAGCATCTGGACATTGTTAGCATCTTAGCACGAACTGGGAACACAAAAGGCACCAACATTCCACTTCCCATCCTTCCATTGCCACGGGCGGAGCGCAGCGCCACCTGCTGGCCATAATATTATTATTCCTAGCACATCCTATACTTTGCAGACGATGCTAAATCCAAGTGGGATTCTAACAGACCCGTACAGTGTCAGAGCCAAAAGGGGCCCTTGAGGTCTTCTGGGCGAGCTCCCTCATTTGACAGGCAGTGGGCTTCTGCTCTCAAGCTAACTCAGTGGCAGGGGAGCTGCTTTAAGATAGAGAAGACAACCACTTGGTGTTCTAATTCGCCTGGGTGGGGCTCTGTTGGGTCGCAGACGGGGGTCAGGGGTAGGGAGGGGGTAAGGGCACCCTGAGTTCCTATCCCATTGCATCCCCAGTGGGTAGAGAGCTGCCCAGGAACAGCTCCCACTCAGCTGGGCAGGCATTGGCTCTTAGACTACAGACGTTCATTTTACGGGGAGTTAAAAATAAATCTCAAAAAGAAAGGGTAAGGTTCCTGGGACACAGACCACTAAGAAATCCCAAGTTAGCATCCTCATGCGCCCACAGAGAGGCCTTCAGGGGCCCTCCCTTGGTTAACTGGCCACACCATGCTGCTCCGTTCACTAGGTAGCCACGGCTGTCCTGTGAGGCGACCAATGCCGGGGCGTGAGATGGGAGGCACAGCACCTGCACCTCTTCCAGGAGCAGAGCGGCAGGCTGTGATGTAGGGATGCTGCCTGACACCTGTAAGAGCAGCCGCATGTTCTAGCCCTGTCAGCGGGGCCAGGAGGGCACGTGCAGTGCACCTGGACTCTCCTGGGCATGGGGCAGGGGGCAGCTCGTTTTTCTTTTAAAATGTTTTATTGGGCCGGCGCCGTGGCTCACTTGGTTAATCCTCCACCTGTGGCGCCGGCATCCCATATGGGTGCCGGGTTCTAGTCCTAGTTGCTCCTCTTCCAGTCCAGCTCTCTGCTGTGGCCTGGGAAGGCAGTGGAGGATGGCCCAGGGGCTTGGGCCCTGCACCTGCATGGGAGACCAGGAGGAAGCACCTGGCTCCTGGCTTCGGATCGGCGCAGCTCCAGCCATGGTGGCCATTTGGGGGGTGAACCAATGGAAGGAAGACCTTTCTCTCTGTCTCTAACTAAAAAAAAAAAAAAAAAGATTTCAAAAAAAAGTGTTTTATTTATTTGCATCTACCTGAAAGGCAGAATGACAGAGCAAGAGATAGATCATCTATCTGCTGGTTCACTCCCCAAATGCATGAAACAGCCAGGGCTGGGCCAGGACAAAGCCAGGAGCCTTGAACTTCCATCCAGGTCTCCTGCATGGGTAGCAGGGCCTCGAGTGCTTTAGTTGTCATCTGCTGCCGTCCAAGACACATCGGCAGGAAGCTGGGTCAGAGGCAGAAGGGCCAGGACCCGCACCAGCACTCCGACGCGGGTGTGAGCGCCCCAAGCAGCAGTGACACCTCCGCGCCACAGCTCCGGCTCCAGGGGCTCCTGCTGAAGGGCTGTGCTGAGAAAGAACCAGCGTCTGGAAGGGCAGCCCTGGCGTCTTGCCTCTGCCTTAACAAAGAGCCCAGCGACCCTGGGAGCCCTGCCCTTGGCCATCCTGACCTCCAAGTGCTTTCCTTCCTATTAACAACACGTGAGTCCGCTCCACCACTGCAGGCCACGTGGGTGGGGCAGCGAAGCCCCCCAAAGCTGGAAAGCACGGCACAGGTCCATGGACAGTCATTTCACGGAGGTGGGGCTACCTGGGCAGCTCAGGGGAGAGGGGTCAGTGACCACCCAGCTGTGCAACTCCCAGAAAGGCACATTCCTTACATCCACATATTAACACTACCTGAATTTAAATTGACACGCGCGACAAAAGTCCCTGATGGCGCCTCCCCTGCAGGAGACACCTGCACAGATCCTGCCCGTGTCCTCACACGGGGCCAGGCCTCTGGCAGCCTGGCTCACCCACACAGACCACACTACATATTTGGTGCATAAATAAGGAGGTTCAGTCCCTAACCTTTGATCAAACACTTCTGTGCTCGCTTGCTGGGACTGTGGCTGAGAACCTCCCCCCACCCCCAGCACTACCCAGAGTGACCCAGAGACGAACAGCAGCACGTCCCAGTGACGGCCACACCCCACAAGATGTGTCCACAGCAGAGCACACACACCGGAGCACCTGTGCACCCCGACATCACCCTCACTGTCAGTAAACATGGTCTTTCTCTCACTTTGCATCCAGCACAGGCACGAAGAGGATGCCTCCGTCCTGCCCGGCTGAGTCCCACCGGGGCTCCCGCACTGGCCTGGCACCATCAGGGCCACCGGAAGCCTGCTCATCCCAGGGCTGCGTTTCAGAAGGCACCCCCGGCTCACAACCCTCCCTCCCCACCGTCACTGGCCAACTGCCTCCTCCAGGGCCTGGAATAGCAACGGAGACGCCGAGCAGCCGGCGTGAGCTCCCGAGCCGCCCAACGCCGTCATTCAGGACAAAACACTTGTAATTCTCCAAATGGTGCGGTTTTGAAATAGACTGGACTTCAACACCCCGCTTTCAAAACACCACGCCCAAGGCCCCTGCTCTTCCAGCAGGCGCGAGCCCGCCGAGGCGGACAGCTGGCAGCAGCGCACGGCCAACTGGGGCTTCCCAGAGAGGCACCGCTGGCGAGCCCCGGGGCCGGGGGCGCGTCCTCCGGGAGAAACGGCTGGCCCACCCAGGGGCCTCTGGGGCACCTGTAACCCTAAGGAAGACATCCAAACACAGTCTTGGCGGCCGCTTCCACCCAGCAGCAGGTATGGCCGCTCCGCTCCGAGCGGAAGTGGAAGGCTGAGAGGACCGCGGGGGGACAGACGTGGCCGGGACGCCGGGGCCTGCGCTGGCACCGCCCGCGGACTAGGGCACAAGGGGCTGAGGTCCCCGCCTCCTGCCCTGCGCCACGGGGCGGCGCGCACAGGCCTTCCTGGGTCCCGGCTCAGGGAGAGGACACCGTGAATTACGGGACAGGACGACCAGGGAGCGAGACCGCCCTCTTCGGCAGGCTTCTTGACGTGCTCCTGGGGGCAGCGGCCCCGGGCTGTGCTGGGACGGACGCGTGGGCAAGTGCCTTGTGACGCGGGGAGCGGGGAACACTGTGGGTCCTAAACGTGGCGGCGCGGCCGTCCTCCGCCGGGGCCTCCCCGGGTGCACCTCCGGAGCAGAGGCAGAAGGGGGCGCCCTAGAGTTTCAGCTTCCCCTCCTTGGCCAGTCTGTCGTTGAGCTGGCAGAGCTGGGCCAGGAAGCCGTCGTTGGGGCCGATCTCACGGTTCTGCCGCACGACGCTCAGGGCAGACCTGACGTCCATCTTGTGTCGCATCATGAGGTACGCGATGACCAGGGTCGGGGAGCGGCTGTAACCCTCGCGGCAGTGGACGAGCACCCGGCCTGCAAGACAACAGGGAGACGCGGTGGGCTGGGGACAGCGAACCAGACCGTGGCTCTTGTCGGAATCCCGCCCCTGAAATGCAAGTGAAAAGCTGACTCCCACGCGTGCCCCTGTGCGGCCACCAGGACGGCCACAGGAGGACGGAGGCAGCACCTGCGCCTGGGAGGATGTGGAGCGAGTGGCCCCGCCCGTGTGGCAGGGGCGCCAAGCAGGACACACGCCTCGGACAACGGCCCCAGGAGCCACCGCAGCCGCGCACACGCGTCCACACATGTGCTCCCTGTCCCACGCGTACCGTGATGTCCACAGGCAGCAGGCCTCAGGGCGGGCCCAAGCTGGACAAACCACATACATGAGTGCAACAGTCCACAGCTGGCCAGGTCCCCGGAGAGCAAAGTAGGCACAACGGCTTCCAGTGACCGAGATGGGAGCAGGGGGAGGGGCGGGTGGGGAACACACTGGGTTTTTGTGTTTTCTTTCTTTTTTTTAAGATTTATTTATTTATTTGAGAGGTAGAGTTACAGAGAGAGAGAGAGGGAGAGAGAGAGAGAGGCCTTCCATCCACTGGTTCACTTCCCAAACGGCTGCAATGGCCAGAGGTGAGCCGATCCAAAGCCAGGAGCCAGGAGCTCCTTCCAGGTCTCCCACACAGGGGCCAAGGACAAAGGCCATCTTCTACTGCTTTCCCAGGCCACAGCAGAGAGCTGGATCGGAAATGGAGCAGCCAGGACTCGAAGCAGCACCCATATGGGATGCTGGTGCCTTGCGTTTTCTTTCTTGACCCCCGGCTGGTATGTGGCTGTGTGCAAATCTCTGACCAACCTCTAGATGGACTTTATCTCTTAAAGACAAAATGTGGAAACAACGCAAATGTCCGCCATCAAGTGAACGGCTCAGCAAACTGGTACACGGGGGCAGTAGAACACTACTCAGCGATAAGGACCAGCTACCAACGCTGGGCACAACCTGAATGAAGTTCAGAATGCTTCCGCTAAGCGAAGGGGCACTGTGTGATTCCACTTCCGGGAAGCACTAGACTGCGCCCCTCATCTCTGGCAACAGCACATCAGGGGCTGATGGGGAAGGGAGGGACAGGGCAGGAGGGGACAGGAGGAAACCCAGGGGTGACGGAGACGCTCATGACCCAGGAGCTGGTGAAGGCTGCACAGGGGCTGTGCACCCTCAGGATGCAGGAACCGCACGCCTGAAACACCAGGGGCTGCGTACTGTCAGGACGTGGGAACCATATACACATAATACAGAAGGCAGAAGTATCCATGGAGGGCTGGCACTGCGGCGTAGCAGGTAAAGCCACCGCCTGCAGTACCGGCATCCCATATGGGTGCCGGTTCTAGTCCCGGCTGCTCCACTTCCCATCCAGCTCTCTGCTATGGCCTGGGAAAGCAGTGGAGGATGGCACAAGACCTTGGGCCCTTGCACCTGCATGGGAGACTGGGAAGAAGCTCCTGGCTCCTGGCTTTGGATTGGCGCAACTCCGGCTGTTGTGGCCAACTGGGGAGTGAACCAGCAGATGGAAGACCTTTCTCTCTCACTCTCTCTCTGACTCGCCTTCTCTCTCTGTGTAACTATGACTTTCAAATAAAATTTTAAAAATCTTTTAAAAAATTATTTATGGGCTTACTAAAGTTTTTGCACCAAAATGATTTTAATGCCATGTTTTCAGAAACATTTTGAAGTATTCTCATATGTATAGTTTATTGAATGTCAATTATACCTCAACAACGTAATTCAAAAAAAAGTGTGCATACCGAGTACCAACACACACACACACACACACACACACCCCCTCATGGCTCTTCCAAAGGCTGGCCCTTCTTTCTGACGTCATTTCCTGCTCCCCCTCCTCCCTCGTGCCAGCCTGCACTGCCTCCCTCCTCAGGTGCCACTCAGTGTCCTCCCCCCTCTCCCCAGGAGGGTCTTCCCTGCCCGCTCCCAGCCCACACCACCTGACCCCTGGTCTCATCTCCCAAGCCCTACACAGGCCGGTGCCCCCTCTGGCCTGGCCGCTGCCATCCACCGCTGACGAGCAAGCACCGTGAGGCAGGGCTGTTGTCATCTATGCTGCCTGGGCCGTGTCCCCACCACAGGTGCAGGACGAGTGAGGAGGAGGTGCCAGCAGCCATGGCCAGTGAGACCCTAGCAGGTTGCAGGAAGGCCCCGCCAGCCGCAAACCTCGGCCCCTCTCTGCCACCACCACTCTGCACACAGAGCGAGTGTTCTGTTCAGGTCCTGGCGCGCCTCACCCTCAGTACCTCGAAACAGGGCTCTCCCTGCCCCCTTACCACCACCAAGCCACCCTCCAGCCAGCACGTGGCGGGATCCTGCCAAGACACAAACCCATTGGTCCGCGTTTGCAGGGTGGTCTGGTCGCCAAGGGGTGGCTTAGGAGGCCAGCTGCCCGCAGCCTCCCACGTGCCGATCCTTGCCTGGAACAGACTCTCTTGGCCTCCTGGTAAACTCCCACTCCTCCTGTGCCGGTTCAAGCATTTCCTTCCTTGGCATAGGAATTCAAGTCTTGGAAGCCGTGTGAACCTTGGTTTACATTTTTAATTTTTATTCATTTATCTGAGAGGCTGAGGGACATAGCAAGAGTTTCCATCCACTGGGTTCAACCTCCCAAATGCCCACAACAGCTGGGGAGCCAAAACTAGGAGCTAGGAATTCAATCTGGGTCTCCCACATGGGTGGCAGGAACCCAACTACTCGGGTCATCACCGCTGCCCCTCAGGGTTCACATCAGCAGGAAGCTGGAAACAGGAGCCGGACACAGGGATCGAATCCAGCTGTGCCGATCCAGCTACGCAGGTGTCCTAACCAGTATCTTAACTGCTAGGCCAATGCCGGCCCCTTGGTTTAAATTTTGACTTGCTGATTGGAGTGTTATTCGCCTTAGCAACATCTGGCCTAGCTGTGTATCCCATCCTATGACAGGATGAGGGACACATTCAGACAACAATACCTTTTCAGGGCTGGTGCCGTGGCATGGCAGGCAAAGCCTCCTGCAGCACCTGCATCCCATATGGGTGCCGGTACAAGTCCCAGCTGCTCCATTTCCAATCCAGCTCCCTGCTAGTGCGCCTGGGAAAGCAGCAGAACATGGCCCAAGTGCTTGGGCCCCTGCACCCACTTGGGAAACCTGGATGAAGCTCCTGGCTCCTGGCTTTGGTTTGGCCCAGCCCTGGCTATTGTGGCCATTTGGGGAGTGAACTAGCAGACAGAAGACTCTCTCTCTCTCTTTCTCTCACAGCATCTCTGCCTTTTAGATAAATAGATAAATAAAAGAAAGAAAGAAAGAAAGAAAGAAAGAAAGAAAGAAAGAAAGAAAGAAAGAAAGAAAAGAAAAGAAAAGAAAAGAAAAGAAAAGAAAAGAAAAGAAAAGAAAAGAAAAGAAAAGAAAAGAAAAGAAAAGAAAAAGAAAAGAAAAGGAAAAGCCCTCTCAAAGCTCCCCTACAAAATCTGGTTACACATGTCAGCGTGGCGAATGTAGAGCACCTGGCTGCTCGGTTAAGCATTGGCCAGCCTGTGGCTGAGCAGGCATCTGCAGCATGCCAAGCAGTGATGGCGACGGCCTGGAGAATGTGGGCTTCCCCCAATCAGCTGGAGACAAAAACAGGTTCTGGGAGAAAGATGCCATTCTGCCTGGAGACTTGAACACAGAACTCCCGCCCAAGTTTCCAGCCCTACAGATTCCAGGCTCACCAGCTGTGACAGTCACAGGAGGCAGGTCCTCCGAGGAATGCCAACACCGTTAGTCGGGAGAACCCTGACTGGCACGCTGGTGATTAACTCTGCGACCCAGCTAACCCCACGGCTGCCGTCTTCTCGTCTGTGCGGACGGTACCGCTGCACAACATGCAAAGGTCCGGCCTCGTGCCTGGCACAGGTGCGCACTCAACAAATTGCCCCACTGCCAGCCATCATCCGGTGGCACCCGGTCACCTCCTCCAGAAGCCCCCACACAGCAGGCATTTCTCAACAGCAGGGACTGTGGGGCGCTGACTTAGGACACCCATGCCACTGGCCCCACTTCTGGCACCCACGCCGCCAGCACCCGTGTGCTCAGTGAGCATCTGCCCCCCATCCCGAGTGAGTGAGTGAGCGCCCACTGCCACCTCCACCGGGCAGTACTCAGCAGGGATCTCCTAGCCCAGAGTCAAAGAGTTGCCCTACCCTGAAACTCCACCCTCCTTGCCCAGTGGCTCCCAAATCAGGAAGCCAAGTCCCCCCCTTCCTGCCCCTCTACCTCTGGCCAGTTTTCCCAAAGCTTACAGAGTGGAGCTCCCCCACCCTGGACCCACGCTGGGACCCTCTGCAGAGTGGCCGCCTCACCACCTGCCCATGACACACAGAGCCTACTCGGCCTTCCAGACCCAGCCCAGATGCCACCTCCTCCATGAAGCCTCCCCAGAAGTGAGTGCTCCCTCCTCTGAGTCCCCCAGCTCTTGGAAATGGCTTCCGGGTGGTCCAGGTCCTGCACCCTGTTGGAGGCCAGCCAAGTCTGTTCACTCACTTGGCCAATCAGTCTTAGAGGCACAGGGAATTCATGTCCCCTACCGTGCATGATGCTACATGAGGTGTCGGGGAGAGAGACAGGGACGCCGTGGCACCAGCCTGTGTGGAAGAAGCCTGTCATGGAGAGGATACTGTGCCCAGTGTGAAAGCACAAGGAAGAACTGGCTGGGGGAGGCGAGGGCACTCCAGACTGAAGGCCCAGCCCTCCTGGGCCAAGGCAGAGGTCACAAGGCTCAAGGTGTGTGTTTGCAGAACAGGAAGCAAAGCCAGAGCTCCAGGTTCCTGGAGAGACGAGTGATCCCCGTTACCGGGCAAGAGCAAGACACTCATCCTCCATCCACACAGGGAGGAGTGCAACCCAGCTGCAGGGGAGTGGGTGAGGGTGGCAGAGACAGCGGCGGGTCACCACGAAGCCTGCAGACTCTCCCCCAAGCCCTGCACGGCTATCCAGTTGTATCTACTGCGACTCCTTTGGCCGGGGCGGCTGCCAGGCCCGAGGAGCATGGCTGCCACAGAAACAAGGCCGATTGCCTGGGGCCGGTGGCGCGGGGCAGGGGTTAAAGCTGCTGCCCGCAATGCCTGCATCCCGTGTGAGAGCAGTTCAAGTCCTGGCTGCTCCACTTCCCATCCAGCTCCCTGCTCGTGCACCTGGCATTGCTGGGGCCCCTGCCACCCCTGTGGGAGACCCAGATGGAGTTCCAGGCTCCTGGCTTTGACCTGGCCCAGCCCTGGCCATACGGCCTTTTGGGGAGTGAACCAGCAGATGGAAGATTGTATGTGTGTGTGTGTGTGTGTATGCATGTGTGCAAGCATGTGCGTGTGACTCTTTTCAAGTAAATGAATCAATAAGCATTAAGAAAAGAAACAAGGTGGATTCCCCTCTCCTGAGACAGCTTGGGGTGGGGAGGGCGGGAGAAGCTGGGACAAACAGCTCCAGACAGAAACGGAAGTGGCCCAGCCTGCAAGCTCATGTCTGCCCCATGGCCTTCTAGGGTTTCTCACTGACGCCTCCTCCGAGTGCCAGCCCCAAGGCCATTCTCCTTCCATCCGACCTTCTGTCTGGGCTGCAGGAAGCACTCAGAGGGCAGCTGGAAGACTGGGAACGTGGGCTGCAGCCTGCAGACCCCCAGCCGCCCCGTTTCCCCTTGCCAGGTGCTGGTGGGAGCAGGTGGCCACTGGGCTGGGACGGGAGGTTGCACTTGCTGCTCAGAAAGGAAGGGCCCCGAGGAAGAGCTGGCTGCACTGCCGTGAGCAGAGCCTCCAGGGGACCGGGGGCACGCGACACGGAGGGTGGTAGAGGAAGGCGCAGGAAAGAGCCGGGTCCACACCCCACGGCCAAGCACCGAATCCACCAGCCCTGGCGCTCCTGCCCCCAGGACCACGGTGCGTCCTCCTCCTCCCTTTTCTCCCATTACCGTTCTTTTGAGCCAACGCCTGGTCTATGAAGTCTGCAGCCCTTTCAAAGTAGGCGCTGAGGTTGAACTCCTGGGTGTCGTTGGCCTTGATGCCCAGGTAGGTGATGCCGGAGTCCTGGTAGAAGTTGGCGTTGGTGTTGACATGCATGAAGGACCGGCCCTCGGCGGCGTTCAGGACGTGGGTGATGCCCAGCTTCTGCAGCTTGGGGATGTCCTGAGCCACAGACCTGGACAGGAGACAGCGGCAGCAGCTGATCAACCGACCGGCTGGCAGCCCCAGCTGGGGAAGACGGGCAAGAATCGAAGCCTCTTGGCTAAGCACAGAAACCCTCTGGGGCCTGGGCCCTGCCAGCTTCTGCAGCCTCATCCTGGGACCTCGCCCCCTCACTCCAGCCGTATCTCATGACCGGCATCTTCCCCAAATAGCCTGGTGGCTTCACGCCCAGGCTCACCCCCTCCCTGGGCTGCGCTCCGCCCACCCCGCCCCTGCTCTGTGGACATGAAACTTCTCATATTTCATCGCCCTGGGCAGTGTCACCTCCTCTCCACATCCACCTGCAGTCACACCCCCGTGCCCGTAGGGTACAGCCAAGGGCTCAAACACCCCAGACTGCCTGGCTCTGACACCAGCCTGCCACCTGCCAGCGAGGCAACCCTCAGCGACACTTCACCTTTCTCTGCCTCGGCTCCCTCGCTGTAAAATGCCACATTGCCACGGCAAGTGCTACTAGTCTTTTTTTTTTTTCTTTTTTGAAAGGCACAGCAACAGAAAGAAAGATCTTCCATTTGCCAGTTCACTCCCTAAATGACCGTAAGAGCCAGGCCAGGGCCAGCCCGAAGCCAGAAGCCAGGAACTGCCCTAAGCACCCACATGGGTGCAGGGACCCAAGCGCTTGGGTGATTGCCCTCTGCCATCTCAGGCACGTTAGCAGGAAGCTGGATTGGAAGCAGAGTAGTCAGGACTCAAACTGGCCCTGTGACTTGGGATGCCAGCATCGCAAGGAGCGGCTCAACCCACTGCGCCACAACACCAGCCCCACAAATGCTGCTATTCCAATGCACGACTGCGCTTGTTTGTTTATTTATAAACCCAGGCTGGGAGCTCCGGGGGGCAGGAATCAGATCTGCTTCAGGTCTGTTTCCCCAGCACCTGCTATGGTGCCTGGCGTGTGGTAGATGCAGAGTAAGTACCTGGTGAATGGGAGAAGGACAGCATTGTCCCGTGCCAGGCAGCCCTGCCCCGCCGTCCAGTGGGACCGGCCACACTCCGCTCGCCATGTTCCTGAAGCTCGCTCGGGTAAGCTGGCACTTGGGGAGCAAGAGTCCCCAAGAGAACTGCAGGGGTTCCAAGACGCCTGCGCTCAGGGATCACAGCGCCCCACCACTCCACCACACAACATCCCCATTCAAACAGCGGCTTGCACTTCTATGACACGTGCACGGAGGAGGGGTGGCGACATCCCGCTGCACAGGGCTTAACCTTGGCCCCGCAGGGCAGGTGGAGGGACGGGTGTGGGTTCACGCGCTGCCAATCATGGAGCCTCGAGGAGACCTCCTTTCTCCTGACACCCAGCCCCGCCGTCTCCCATCTCACGGCGTCCCATGCCCACCATGGGAAAACCCAGAGGCCTGGAAAACGGGCCTTCACACAGGCTCTGGCTCTGGGGGCCGGACTTTTTTGAGGGGCTCCCAATGGGTGGGGGAGTCCAGGTGCTCATGACACTTGGGTGCCCAGGAGCTCCTGCTTGCTAGCACCACACACACGCGTGTGCACACACATACACACACACACACCAGGCCACGTCAAGGTCAGATCTGCCTCGCAGGCGAGCAAGGTGTTCTCGATGCCACTGGCACTTAGCACCCCATCAGCAGTTAGCACGCCAGCTCCCACCAGATGTTTGAAGCCTTGGTTTCCCCTCAGGGAGGAGGTGGGTCTACAGTGGAACACCTGGGTCTGCCCCAGTGAGCATGGCTCCCGAGGCAGCCAAGCCCCATTTACTGGGGGGTGGCAGAAAGTACCCCCAGAAGTTTGCAATTCCTGGGTCCTCTGGCTGAGGCCGAGGGACTCTGCCTTAGCTGTCCAGTGTGTGATGCTGCCCAGGACTGCCAGGTGGTGGTGACGGGAAGCACTCTGAGGTCACTCCCCTCATCTCCCGGTGCTGACATGAATGCAACAGCCTACACACCTGCCCCTTCCTGATGCCTCCTGCTCTTCGTGGACCCTGTAGTGCCTGGCTCACAGCAGGTGCTGGGCGGGAGCGGATGGCACGGCAATGAGCTCTGTCCTCGGGAGGCTGGGACCGGCCTTTCCAACCCCTCCTAGCCGGGCGATGGATTCCCATTTCTGCGGCCGTCCTTGGCAGGATGGCGGCTACACGCACGAACAAAACCGCGATCCTGTGCTCACAACTGCTCTGCCATCCGGGCACCCACCCGCTGCCCTGTGGAAGCTGAGAGGAGGGTTAGCTCCAGGTTTTCAACACATGCTCCCGGGCAGGCACACGGGGCTGTACCAGCATCTGATCTATTCTTTCTCTTGGCTGGCATTTCAGTGCCTCCCAGAATTGGTAACCCTGGGTCCCTCCCGCTGCTGAGAAATGCTGATAGGTAGTTTAAAGAACAGAGAACCGGAAAATCAATTTACTAAGAAGCCCTGGTAAGTGATCAATAATAAATGCATTCCCTGGTGGTGAGAGGACTGCGATGGGAGCCTTTTCCAAGTGATGGCTTGGGGGAGGGGGGTTATCGGTGGATGGTTCTAGAAGCCCATGCAAGTCAAACCCTGTCTGGAAGGTGGGAGAAGAGGTCAAGAAACCCCGGCCCAGCTTTCCGGACTCCCACGTTTCAGGTATTTTTTGATTCCCTGATCTGGGCCAGGAAAAGTTCCACACCCGGATTGAGACGTCAGCCCGTTGCCATGGCAACGGAGGCAGACATTCCGCGGTGACCTCACTGCAGAACCAGGCAGCTGTCACATGATGCGCGGGCAGGAGACCGGCCGGGCGACCGAGGGCCACCTGTTAAGGGAACATGGTAGCCGACCCCGCCCAAGGCCGAACTCCAAGACTGGAGAGGGCACCCCCGGGGGCTCCGCGCACCCCTCTTCGCGGGAGGACCGCGCTCTGGCAAACACGCGGGGGTGGGCGCCGACTCCGGCCCCCTCCCAGCCCCGAGGTTGGGCCGGGAGTGGTGGCCGCGCCCGCGATGCCCCCACCCGCGCCTCCCCACTCCCCCGCCGTAGCCCCCGGTGGGCGGGGCGCCCGGGGAGGGGCGACCGGGCCGGCCCCGAGGGGCACTCACGCGTTGCCGACGTAGATCCTCGGGGTGACCTCGTTGCACGGCTGGCTCGGGAGGCTGTAGCAGCCGCTGCCGTCCGAGAGCAGGTCGTTGAGATCTTGCACCGAGAGCTCGAACGGGCCCGACATGGCGGCGGCCGGGCCCTGCACGCCGGGGCAGGAGCGAGCGAGGGGAGAGCGGCCGGGTCAGCTGGGCGGGGGCTGGCGAGCCGGGAGCCGCCCCGTCCCGCCCCGGGGGCGGGCCCGCCGGGCGCGGGGGCCACCGCGCTGCTCTCCGGGGAGGCTGCGCGCCGCCGGGCTTCGCGCGGCCGCTCCTCAAGACCCCCCCACCCCGGGGCGCGCGCCCGAGCGGCCTCGGCTCGTGAGCTTCGGGGGCCTCTCCCAGCCCCGGCTCAGCTGCTTCTGGATCTTTGTAAAGTGGGAAATGCAGTCACATCCTTCCCTGAACCGAATGCGGGGCGCAATAAATGTTCCTGTTGTCGGGGTGCAACCAGGTGTCGCTTAGATTATTTTAGGAAGACTGGGGCACCGGGGTTCCCGCTCTGACGCCCCCTGCTGTATCCCCCGGGGCTTGTCAGAGTCTCCGCCCCAGTCTGACCCACCGACCCCAGGAAACCCCTACCAAGGTCTAAGTCTAAGAGGTCCTACTCTGGGGCCATCTGCTCCCCGCCCCCTTCTCCCCTAGTTACTTGAAAGGCAGGTGACACACACACACACACACACACAGAGAGAGAGAGAGAGAGAGAGAGAGAGAGAGAGAGAGAGGAGAGTCTTCCATCTGCTGATTCACTTCCCAAATGGCTGCTACAGCCAGGGCTGGGCCATGGGGAAGCCAGGAGTTGAACTCTGTGTCTCCCAGGTGAGTGGCAGGGGCTCAAGGACTTGGGTCATCTTCTGCTGCCTTCCCAGGTGCTTTAGCAGGGAGCTGGGTCCAAAGCAGAGCAGCCTGGACCCAGGCTCAGCACCTGCCCTGCAGGCAGTGGGCTAAAGTGCTGCTCCCCCGCCCCCAGCCCACCTGCTTTCACCATTCTTGGAGAATCAGCATCCTGCTTAAAAACTGGGAGCCCTGAGCAGCCAGGCTTGGAACTCTGGCCCTGGGGAATGAACCTCTCTGAGCCTGTTTGCTGAAACAGAGATCGGGCATTCCTAGTTGAAAAAAACCTGAAATGCCCCAAAGCTCGACACGCAGCACGGAAGTGAGTGACGCCACGCCTGGGAAGTTCACGCCTGGCTTTGTGTGACAGGTCGCAGTCAACACCAGGAGCACCAGAATTATTGTATAAACTTATCTTCAGGTGCATATGAAACACAAATGGATTTCATGTTTAGATTCGGGTTCCACTCCTTAAGACAGTTCAGTATGTAAATGCAAATAGTCCAAAATTTAAAAAAAAAAAAATCCGACATCTGAATTCTTTCTGGTCCTAAGTAGTTTGGAGCCTGGAACACTGAACTCCGAGGGTTGCTGGAAAGACTAAATGCGGCACTCAGGGAAAGCACCCAGCACCAGCAGTAAGCACTCCGGAAGTGTTCGTCGTTCGTCTCGGCACAGGGTATGACCGGTGCTAGCATGCGGACCCCCAGACCCGCGGCCAGCCCACCAGGTGCCACCTGGCGTCAGCACTCAGCCTGTCCTGAGCTCCCCCTTAGTGCCAAAGACACAGTCTCTGTCCTGGAGGAAATCTGCTCTCTCCTCCGAGACCCCCTACCCCGAATGGGGTGAATGTGGCCCCTGGAATCAAGGCTCCCACCTCCCGTGCCCAGCTCTGCACTGACTTGGCTGCTGCACCGCTTCCCTGCTGCTCTGCCCTTTAGTTCCTCGGCTGTGAAATGAAGGAATTGCATCCGATTCTCAAGGTCACCTTTCACCTTCCCTGGAAGCTGGTGCCTCTCCTTCCCGCGCTGGCAGCATCTGCGTTCCAGGCAGGTGGGAGAGCTTCCGAGTCTCTCGACCTTAATCTTGACCGGGGCCTGCGTTAGCACTGAGAACAGAAGCCCAGAGGCAGCCGGCCGTGCCCTGCTGCTGCGCCTCCTCCTCTGAGCCCTGTCCCTGATGTCACAACTGGGTAGCTATGACAACCTGCCACAGGGGCCCTAAGCACCTCCCAGAGGGCCCCGGGTGCTCATTTCTGAAGTGAGACTAGGAAGAGAAGATGAACAGTTCTCTGGATTATCTGGCCTACCCTGTTATCGTCTCTAATCACAGGCAAAGCACAACCTTCAGGAAGAAACTGGACTTCGGCCACTACGTATTTCACAAGAATAGAATACAAATAGGTAGGTGGGCTGTTTGGACTGGACGCTGAAGTTTCCAGCGCAAAGACGTTGACACAAACCAGATCATTGCGTGACTTCAGGATGACGTGGCTGAACGCTGAGTTTAGTCCGGTGTACATCAGCATCAGTAACGGAATGTACTTTCCACTGGGAAGCTTGTTTAACGGAGACACTCGTTTTATTGTTTGAAAGGTTCAGTTCATGGAAAGGCAGAGCAACAGAGAGAGGAAGAGGCAGATCTGTCGTCTGCCAGTGCACTCCCCAAATGGGCCAGGCAGAAGCCAGGAGCCAGGAACTCCACCCAGGTCTCCCACATGGGTGGCAAGTACTTGGGCTGCCTTCTGCTGCCTTCCTAGGCGCATTAGCAGGAAACTGGATTGGGAGCAGAGCAGCTGGGACTCAAGTCAGCACTTCAGTACGGGACGCCAGTGTTGCAAAGGTGGCTTAGCCCCCTGCGCCACAACACCAGCTCCATCCAAGGCGCTCGTTTTAAACTCTTTAAACCAAAGTAAACCTGAGGCTAGGACTTCAGGGAAGGGACGGAAGAGAGGCTCTTTCGCTGGGTGAAGAGGACGTTCATCTCTCTAAGTGTCACTTGTTCTAGTCCTCACCATTCTTCCATTTCTGCTGAGGTCAGTTTGGGAAATTATACCAAATTGAAATTCCTGAACTGGAATACGATCGTCACGCTCACTGGTCAGGGTCATTGTCAGGCCCCCGTGCGGAGGTTTGCTAAGCTCCAGGGTCCCTGTGCTCTAACGATGTTCTCTCTTATTCCTCTGCCCCAGTGAAGCCGACCGTGGACACCAAGCCTCCAGCGGCACACACACACCACATTTTAAAACTGAGCAAACTACAGGTACTTGTTTTGGCTGTCTGCAGCCAGATTTTACTGATCTTTTCTCTAAGCCCTAAAGAGGCCCGGCTTCCCCAGAGCCTGCTAAGTACCCACCTAGCCCCTGTGTCGGTGCGCCGCCTTCCCATCCCCTGCCCCCAGCTCCCTAAGCTTGGCCCCCCACGTATTCCTCTCCTGCAGTCCCAGAGGAGGGTGGCTCAGCCACTGTGGGGGAGCCATGACACCCCCATGTGGGTGGGGTTTCTTCGCAGGGTGAACAAAAGAGAATCGATAAGATCGAGTATGAAAATAAGCAGCTATGTCAGAAAATCGCCAACGCCCATCGCGGCCCCGCCAAGGTGGACTGCTGGAACGAGTATTTCTCCAAGAGGTACAGTTCTTTCTCTTCGTTTCAGTTTTTGGGAGACAAACTTGCCCTTCCTTTGGGTTTTCACGCGAGGTTCTCCTGTGTGAGGGGAGCACCTCGGGGTATTTATCTCGAGGGATAGGCAGAGAGATTGTGGTGAGGAAGGGGAAAACGTCCCGACTGGGGCTTTGGCCAGGGTTACAGCTAACTTCGATTTGCAGCTACAATGAAACACCGTACTCCAATCGCTTACGAACAACACTCAACACTGGAGGAAGGGTGGGGCTCTCCCTGAGACTTCTTTTATGAGGGCACTAATCCCTTTGCAGGGGTGGGTACCGGGCCTGTGAAATCACCTGGCCTGGCCCTTTCATGGCAACCGCGGGCTGACTTTTAAGTTGCTAACTCTGCGTGGCCGGCAGAGGGCATTATAAATTCCCAAATGGCCCTTGGCAGGAAAAAAAAAAAGTCCCCCAACCCTGCTTTAGGGTGACCGAATCACCTCTCCAGGTCCCCCTACCCCCAACACTTCACCTTGGAGGTTAGGATTTCAGGAAACGAACCGTGGGCGGGGGCACACATTCAGACCACAGCACCATAGCTGGGACCGCGAAGCAGTGTTCCAGGCACCAGGCGTCCGAGATGAAATGACATACGTATGGCCTCAGAAGTAAAATCCCACAGGGCAGCTGTCTATGGCAACAGCAACAGCACAGTGTGGTGGGGAGGGTGCCAGGGAGAGTTTGGAGTGGGTGATGCGGAGACCCCTTTCCTATGTCTGGAGACGGGAGCGGGAGGTGAACCAAAACTTGTCGCCAGACTTTTGTGATTTGTCCAAAAAGAGCCCTTCCCCTGCCGCCCCCAAAAGAAAGCAGAGATTCTCAAGCCTGGTTTCACATTATATAATCCTTGGGGCACGTGTGCGAGATGGTGTCGCCCAAGCTCCAGCCCAGACCAGTAAAGCAGAATCTTGCAGTGGGGTTAGGACCGCCTGTCAAACCTGCAGAGGCGTGCACATTCCCCGCAGTGCGGGCGTCTGTGACGGCTCAGCAGACGCACCTCTCCCACCCCACCCAGGAGAAGCACTTCCTTCCGCATCTGTTTTGTGGCTTTGTGTTTTTCAGCTTAAACAGGGAAACAAGGAACCGGGAGCTGGTGAGGATCACCGTGGAGAACCAGGGCATCCTCAAGAGGCTGGGTGACCGCAAGCCCCACTACGACCGCAGGGCATCGGAGATGGACTGGCAGGCACGTGGCCATTCTTGCTGTATCCCCCCGCGCACACACACAATTTGTCCTGCTCAGCCTACAGACGGTCTCAGAAGCACCCCTAAGTGGCTGGAGCCAGATCCCATGGAATGCCGCAATGGTTAGAACAGAAACCATCGAAGGCTAACAAAGCCAACAGACTAGCGAACCAACAGCTAAAGACATCTCGCTGTCTTAGGTGTTAGTTCCAGGAAATATCCAGTAGCAGCTTCCCCGACCCCTTAACTCATTAAAGATGGCTGAATGCGCAGGGGGCACCCAGCAGGTGCTTGGTCTGCTCCCTTCAGAGATGAAAAGGGGGGAAGGGGAGCCATGCACTGTGCTTTAAAGGAAACCTCCACTCCCTTGCTTGGGTCTGGGAACCGCTCGCAAGCCCCCCTTAAGGACTTAGGACGTCAGCTGTAGCATCAGCACCCTGCATTGACATGGATCTTTCTGCTTTTTTTTTTTCTTCCAGAATTCAAGGCGCTATATCAAAAATACAACAAGATATCTTCTCTCCCAAGATGAATAGGTTTGTGTATCTGCACCACATGGTCACAGTTGATACCAAAGCCCTAAGAAACCCATAAATGGTGAACGAGAGGTCATCTGTACAGGGAACTCGGCGCTCTCTTTGTTTCTTCCCTCCACACAAGCGGGAACGACAGTGTCGTTTGCCGTCGGCTTCGAGGCTCTGTAGGAGTCTGCAGGGAAGCCATGGGTTCTGCTAAGACCTAAACGGGAGGCCTCATGGCTTTAAAGTTGTGCCAACGTTACATTACAGGTCTCTGCCACTGTTCAAAAGGACTGTCGTGTCGGCATTTTGTATTATTTAACACCGTTAGGAATGAGTAGGGGAGAAGGAGAAATGGACACCCCGGCTTTCCGAAGGCTGGTTCTGTGTCATTGACCTGTCTCCCTCTCTCCCTGCTGAACACAAGGCTCCTCACCATGGAAAAGCTGCCCGAGAGGGCGCAGAGGCCTTGGCTGCTCGGACTCTGCAGACGCCCCTGAGGGGCTGCACACTCCGCCTTAGGACGCTGTAATAAAGCCCAGAACAAGAACGGGGCAGGCAGGAGGAAATACGCAATGAGCATCTTTATTTGAGGCTATGAAAAAGTAGTAATGGCAGGAAAGAGAGAGAGAGAGAGAGCAGTCAAGAGAGGAGGGATGGAGGGACAGACGAGTACGCTCTTAACCATGCCAGGGGTGGAAAAGGTGGGCTGTGATAAGCTCCGAATCCAGCGCTGTCCAAATGGGAAGCAAAAGCACATGACAACATCAAAGCTGGGACCACACAAGCGACACACGCCATTAGCCCCTCTGTGGCTCTGCAGGCTTCCAGGAGCCCTGTTCGCAGCCAGGGAGCAGCAGCAGTGAAAACGTCTCCCGCGTGCTGAGACGCTGCTGTGTGGGTTCTGTGACGCGACGTGCTGGTTTTCAGCCTAAATCCATCTATTTTTTATGAAGGCTTATTTTTATTTATTTGAAATGCATTGTTACAGAAAGAGGCAGAGAAAGAGAGAGAGGGGTCTTCCATCCGCTGGTTCACTCCCTAAATGGCTGCAATGGCTGGGGCTCAGCCGATCTGAAGCCAGGAGCTTCAACCAGGTCTCCCCCATGGGTGCAGGGGCCCAAGGAATTGGGCCATCTTCTACTGCTTTCCCAGGCCACAGCAGAGCTAGACTGGAAGTAGAGCAGCCAGGACTTGAGACAGAGCCTTATATGGGATGCTTTACCCACTACGCCACAGCGCCAGCCCCCTTAACTAGCATCTAACCACTAAGCTAAACGTCCACCTGTTTGCTCTTTTATTGCTGAGTAACACTAATGATATGGTTGTTCCAAGACTTGATCACCATCTATTCACTGAAGGACATTCGGGTAGTTTGTTTATTTTTAAGATTCATTTTATTTATTTATTTATTTAATTAATTAATTAATTTTGACAGGCAGAGTGGACAGTGAGAGAGAGACAGAGAGAGAAAGGTCTTTCTTTTCCATTGGTTCACCCCCCAATGGCTGCTGCAGCCGGCGCACTGCGCTGATCTGTTGGCAGGAGCCAGGTGCTTCTCCTGGTCTCCCATGCAGGTGCAGTGCCCAAGCACTTGGGCCATCCTCCACTGCACTCCCAGGCCACAGCAGAGAGCTGGACAGGAAGAGGAGCGACCAGGACAGAATCCAACGCCCCGACCGGGACTAGGACCCGGTGTGCCGGCGCCACAGGCGGAGGATTAGCCTATTGAGCCATGGCGCCAGCAGTTTATTTATTTTTAATATTAAGGATAAAGCTGTGGGGCCGGCACCATGGCACAGTAGGTTAATCCTCTGTCTGTGGCACCAGCATCCCATAGGGGCACCAGTTTGAGTCCCGGCTACTCCTCTTCCGATCCAGCTCTCTGCTATGGCCTGGGAAAGCAGTAGAAGATGGCCCAATTCCTTGGGCCCCTGCACCCACGTGGGAGACCTGGAAGAGAAGCTCCTGGCTCCTGGCTTTGGATTGGCTCAGCTCTGGCCATTGTGGCCAAACTGGAGAGTGAACCAGCAGATGGAGGACCTTTCTGTCTGTCTGTCTCTCTCTTATTGTCTATAACTCTACCTCTCAAATTAATAATAAATAAAAAGTCTTTAAAAAATATAAAGCTGCTACAAACATTTGTGCACAAGTTTCTGCTTGCAAATAAGTTTTTTTAAAAAAAAGATTTCATTTATTCGAGAAGCAAAGTTACAGAGAAAGAGAGGGAGAGATAGAGAAAAAGTCTTCCATCCACTGGTTCACTCCCCAAATGGCTGCAACAGCCAGAGCTGAGCCTCGTCTGGGTCTCCCATGTAGGTGCAGGGACCCAAGCACTTGTGCCATCCTCTACTGCCTTCCCAGGCCAGAGAGAGCTGGATCGGAAGGGCTTCCCAGTCAGGACACAAACCGGCGCCCATATGGGCTTAACCTGCTACACAGCACTGACCCTGCAATTAAGTTTTGATTTATCTGGGACAAATGCTCAAATAGTATGGTAGGTTCATTTTTAGGTTTATATATATATATATATATATATATATATATATATATGTTAATGTCATGAGTTTGATGTTTGAGCTAATTTTGTCCCAAATTGATAAGCTGTTAATTGTCTTAAAAAAAAAAAAAAAGACTATTTGAGAAGTAGAGTTACAGACAGTGAGAGGGAGAGACAGAAAAATCCTCCCTCCATTGGTTCACTTCCCAAATGGCTCGGACGACCAGAGCTGTGCCGATTTAAAGCCAGGAGCCAGGAGCTTCTTCCCAGTCTCCCACGTGGGTGCAGGGGCCCAAGGACTTGGGCCATCTTCTGCTTTCCCAGGCCACAGCAGAGAGCTGGACTGGAAGAGGAGCAACCGGGACTAGAACTGGTGCCCATATGGGATGCCGGCGCCACAGGCGGAGGATTAACCTATTGTACCATAGCGCCGGCCCCTTGTTTTTAGTTTTAAAAGGAACTTTTCAGAGTTTCATGTTCCTGCCAGCAGTGGATGAGTGATCCAGTTTCCCCACATGTCGCTCCCCCTCTTCATGGAGGAACGACACTAAACCCTGCCTAGACTTCATATCCGAGTCACGGCACCATTATGTCGTTCCCCGTCTTCGTGGAGGAACGACACAGGACCCTGCGCTGTTCTTTCGTCTGCTCGGCCCTTCCCGGGTTTGCTGCTGGTCCTTCCCGGGTTGGCTGCCGACCCCTCCACCTCCGTGGAAGGGCGGTTCCCCCTGCCACATTCCCCACTTCCGCGGGGGAGCGGCACACCGCCGGCCGGCTCTCTCGGGGGCTGCACAGGTGTTCCCTCAGATGTTCCCCTTAGATGTTCCTGGTGCATGTTGTCTCTCTCCTCCTTTATAGTCCTCTTCCGCCAATCCCAACTCTGCTACCCACACGCCGAGTACGCTGCTCTCCTCCAATCAGGAGCAGGTCCTACAGTTTATTGGTTGAACTGGAAGCAGCTGTGTAGAAGCTGTTTCCCTTCTCAGCACCATATTGTGGGAGAGCAGATGCATAGAATAAGTCTTAATTCCAGTAACTTAGTCTAGTCCGAGTTGCTCCCCACACCCACACCCTCAGCAACCCTTGATACCATCTCATTTTTATTTTAGCCATTCTGACATGTGCGCAGTGACATCTTGTATGGTTTAAATTTGCATTTTTCTAGCAGTTAATGAAGTTGAATCCCTTTCATGTGCTTATTTGCTATCTGTGTGTCCTCTTTGGTGAAATGCCTGGGCGTGTCTTTTGCTCGTCAGTTAACTGGATTTTCTAACACTGAATTTTGTTATATGGTAAATATGTCTTTTGCCAAATACATGACTTGCATGGATTTTCTCTCAGTCCATAATTTTGTCTAACAGTCTTCCCCAAACTGTTTATCGTGATGACATCGTTTGTTCTGTCTTCACCGCGGCGATGTCAAGGTGCTGACTCTGACAGTGCAACGTGGTTTTGCTAGCACTGGGGCCGGCGTGGTGGTGTAGCGAGCGAGCCTCCCCCTGCGGCGCCGGCATCCGGCACAGGCACCGGCTCTCGTCCCAGGGGCTCCTCTGCCCATGCAGCTCTCTGCTGATGGTCTGGGAGAGTGGAAGATGGCCCACGTGCTCGAGCCCCTGCACCCTCGCGGGAGACCCAGAGGAAACTCCTGGCTTCAGATCAGCTCGGCTCTGACTGTTGTGGCCATTTGGGGAGTGAACCAGTGGATGGAAGACCTCTCTCTCTGTCTCTCCCTCTCTCTGTAACTCTACTTCTCAAATCAATAAAACTTAAATTCCTTATCAGCTGGTTCCCATTCATCTCGTGTGTGTGTGTGTGTGTGTGTGTGTGTAACAATCATTAAAGCCAGGAAGTCACCTTTTGCTCTCATCCTGACCCCCTCCCTACAAATCTCCAATCTACAAGGCCTACTCTATCTCAGGCACGTGTGATTTGTAACTGGTGTTAACACCCAAGTGTGCCCTGGTCACTCTGTAGTTGACGACCTTGGCCTCGGCCATTCTTCCTCACAGGCATGGTGTTTTTGTTGTTGTTGTTGTTGTTGTTTAAGATTTATTTATTTTATTTGAAAGTCAGAGTTACACAGAGAGAGGAGAGGCAGAGAGGTCGGTCTTCCATCCACTAGTTCACTCCCCAAATGGCCTTAATGGCTGGAGCTGGGCCAATCCAAAGCCAGGAGCCAGGGGATTCTTCTGGGTCTCCCACGTGGGTGCAGGGGCCCAAGGACTTGGGCCATCTTCTACTGCTTTCCCAGGCCACAGCAGAGAGCTGGATCGGAAGTGGAGCAGCCAGGACTTGAACCAGTGCCCATTTGGGATGCCAGCACTGCAGGCAGTGGCTTTACTCGGTACGCCACAGTGCCGGCCGCAAGGCATAGTTTTAAATACAGCATCCAAGGCCCACTGTGATCCTGCCCTTCTGTCTTTGCAGCCTTTCTCAGCACAAATTCTTAATTTCAAGCAATAAAAGCTTTGATTTAAGTGTTGAAATAATTCATGGAAAGAAAATGAATTCATTAAAAGTACTTGCTAGGAAACTGCAAAACTAAGCTTCAAGGTTTTTTATTTTTTATTTTTTATTTATTTTT